TAAACATGATTTAGGATCTGATGCTTGATGCTAAGATGATGAGAACCCCAAAGAGAACAATGAGACCCACAATACGACAAGGGATTTCGAAACTTCAGGAAAGCTAAATCAGGTTTATAATAAGACCTTGACTCATTGTTTATATCGCAACAAGAGCCAAAGGTAAAAATCTTGACCCATTATCTATGACACAACAAGAACCAAAGGTATAAAGTTGGTTGATGCCACAACCTTGAACGGTTGAGAACGAGGATAATAAGTCAAGTTAGAATGCCACAAGAATAATCTTGATAAGTTTTGTAAAGTTCTGAACTGAACCAAAGAGAAAAGTCTCTCAAAATATTCAGATTCAATAGCTACCTCAATTAGGGTTACAAGCCCTTTAAATAAGGAAAACTAATCCTAATTAGAATAGAAAACTAACACCCTAAGTCCTCAACCTAATAACCATGAATTGAGTTTCAATAAATGAATGTTCAACCCAAAATAATACAAAAAATGTGAAAATCACCTAAAAAACATGAAATATCAGTTTGCTACAAATGGCAACAGAATTAAGCGATTTTGACTTAAACCGTGTAATTCAGCATGAATGACCTTAATTAAGCTTCTCTTGGACTTGACTGATGTTTACCTTTCCAAGATAATCATCCAAGCTTCGATTTACTTGTTGCATGTTGTTTTCAACCTAGATCTGCTCAATAAGACCATTTAAAGCTTCTCACATCTTCTTAGCTCTAGCTCTCGTGACTGGACCTCCTTGAATGTGTAATGGATCCTTTGACATGGTATATGTGCTATCGTCTTGATTCCCATCATAAAAAATAAGCTGACTTGGTCAACTGATCAACGATGACCCAAATGGAATCATTTCATTTTAAGGTTCATGGTAAACCTATCACAAAGTCCATGGTAATGTTCTCCCACTTTCATTGGGGAATAGGTAAAGGCTATAGGTTTCCAAGAAGTCTCTGGTGTTCAACCTTGACTTTTGGCAAGTCAGGCATTGTGAGACAAATCTAGCTATCTCCCTCTTCATGTTCCGCAACCAAAATGTACTACACAAGTCTCATTACATCTTTGTGCTACTTGGGTGAACTGTGTAACTAGTATTATGGGCATCCTCCATCTCTTGGTACACACAACTTGTCGCCAAACCACAGGGTTTCATCATCATAAACTTTGAGTTCTTGCATGTGGAGTTCCCTTGCATTTACCTTTTCTTTCAACCTTTGTAAGAAAGGATCTTTTTGTTGAGCAAGTTTAATTCTATTTATTAATGCTGGTTGTGCACTAAGATCGGCTAGATAGGCTTTAGTAATGTTCAATCTGAACTCCACATCAAGTTTAGCAAGATCCTCAAGTAACTCCTTCTTAGTGGCAAGGATGTTAGAGGCAGTGCTAGAGGACTTTCTACTCAATACATCTGTTACTTTGTTGGCTTTACTTGGATGGTAACTAATGGTCAAGTCATAATCGTTTAGAAGTTCAAGCCATCGCCTTTGTCTCATGTGAAGATCCTTTTGAGTGAAAATGTACTAAAGGCTCTTGTGATCAGTGAAAATTTCACGACTCTCACCATAGAGATAATGCCTCCTGATCTTGAGTGCAAATACCACCATTGCCAACTCTAGATCATGAGTAAGGTAATTTTCCTCATAAGACTTTAACTGTGAGAAGTATATGCAATAACCCTATCTTTTTACATCAAGACACATCCTAGACCATTTTTAGAGGCGTCACTATATATAGTGAATCCTTCGCCACTAATGAGAAGTGCAAGAATAGAGGCAGCGACCAACTTTTCTTTAAGGGTCAGAAAGCTCTTCGCACACTTTAGAGTCCACTCAAATTTTGTATCCTTCCTATTAAGACGAGTCATTGGCAAAGCAATTGTAGAAAAATCCTCCACAAATTGGTGGCAATAACCAGCCAATCCTAAAAAACTGTAAATTTCAACAACACTATTCGGCCTTTTCCAATCAACTATGGCATCAATCTTTTTTGGGTCAACAGAAGTTTCATCCTTAATCACAACGTGACCTAGGAATGAAACACTATCTAGTCAAAATTCACACTTTTTAAATGTAACAAACAATCTCTTGTTTCTCAACATCTCGAGAATTGTCCTTAAGTGCTCCTTATGAAGAGCATGGCTAAAAGAGTAGATTAAAATGTTGTCAATGAAAGCAACCACAAACTTGTCTAAGTACTTGCTAAATATTCGTTTCATCAAATCCATAAATCCTGCAGGGGCATTTGTTAAGGCAAAAGGCATAACAAAAAATTCATAGCGAGCATAGCAGATACGAAAAGTAGTCTTTGGCACATCATTAGGCTTAATATTCAATTGATGGTGGTAAGATCAAAGATCAATCTTTGAAAATACTCGAGCACCCTTGAGTTGATCAAGCAGGTCATCGATTCTAGGAAGTGGATATTGGTTTTTAATAGTCATCTTATTTAGCTCTCAGTAATCAATGCATAATCTCATGCTCCCATCCATCTTCTTAACAGACAACATTAGAGCTCCTCAAGGTGACACACTGAGTCATATAAACTCTTTTTCAAGGAGTTCCTCAAGTTGGGCCTTTAACTCCTTCAATTTTGTAGGAGCCATACGGTATGGGGCTTTGGAAATAGGATCAATATTAGGAACAAAATTAATAGCAAATTCAATCTCCCTATCCAGAGGTAAACTTGGAAGATCCACTAGAAATACATTAAGAAACTCACACACCATAGGTATATCTTCTAGTCTTGGCGTCACACAATTAGCATCAATGATAGAAACTAGAAGACCCTGGCACCCATTTATAAGATATTTCTAGGCCCACAAGGCAGATATTAGCATAGGTGGAGAAAAAGAGCCATAGCCTTGGAAACTAAATTCTAGCTCACCAGGAATATTGAAAACTACCCATTCCAATGGCAGTCTATAGAGGCAAAATATTTCAACAACTAATTCATCACCAAAATGATGTCAAAATCAGAGATATCTAAAATAAATAGGTCAACACTCAATTGTCTACAATCAATATAAATATTTACAGCTCTACAGACATCTTTAGTAGTAATCACCCCTTTCAACAAGGTGTCCACATGTAGTTCAAAATCAGAGATATCAATACATAAAGCTTGTTTCCAAGAATAAGATAAAGCAATAAAAGAATGTGATGCACCCAAATCAAATAAAACATATGCATAATCAGAATTGACAGGCAAAGTACCCGTGATTATGTCCGTAGTCGCAGCTTCGTTACAAGTCATTACATGAACTCTCGCATGTTGTGCTCTTGTCCTAACCTTAACATTTTGTTTCTGCACCCCCTGATTAGTAAAATCTTGCTAAGATGTAGTTTGAGTACTTTGAGCTCTAAGGTCTGATTACAAGCAATTTACAACTTGATGTCCAGGCTTGCCACATTTGAAGCAAGCCTTAGTAATAGCACGACATCGATCACAAGTGTGCCCAACTTTTCTACAATTAGGGCAAATGGGTTGAGTAGAATGAGTATGCTGAGTTGTTAATGTGTGACCCTCAATCTTAGTAGTTCCTAACTTTTTGGAAATTTTATCGATCTCAAACTTATGTGGTGTTGGGGCAAAGGGTCTATGACCCTTATCAAATATCCTCTTCTTAAAAGGCGGCCTAACTTGTTGCTCTAATGTCTTGACTTTAGTCATAGCCTTCTCCTGATCCATGGCTCTATCTATTGCTTCTCTATAAGTAACATGCTTGAATTGATTCATTGCTAGATAAACAATAGGATTCAAGCCCCATAAGAATTTTTTAGCCTTGGCCTGCTCATCACTGACTTGATTATCCACAAGGGGCAAATAACAGTCAAACTCCTTCTTGTACTACTCAACAGTATATGACCCTTGCTTTAAATCAATGAATTCCCTTTGCAACTCACTCATTTTGCTATTAGCTGTATATTCTTGCATAAACACCTTCTTAAAACCATCCCAGGTGCTCAATTCCAGTTCTCTATGGTGTAGCTTTAAGTAATTTCCTCACCAAGTTAATGCTTCACCCGTACGCATGTAACTACCCATGTCGACCTTAAGGTCGTTAAAGACCTTTAGTAGGCAAAATCCCCTTTCCACCTTGGTAATCCATGACTCGACCTGCTTAAAACCCATTGTACCATCAAATCTCTTAGTCACTACCTTTTGGAATTCTGTATAGATCTTCCAGTTAGGTACAATAGGAGTAAAAGAAATAGGAGCAAGTTATAGGAATGGAAACCACTGGGGATGGAGGTGGCACGCTAGTGGCAAAAGATGCTTAGCATCTCATCTCTACTATAAATTCCTGAACAAATACAGCCATCTGAGGGTTACTCACCCTTCCCTCCTTAAGACCAACCTAAGTAGAGGGACTAGTAACTAGACTTGGAGGAGTGCCATCGTCCTCACGGCTATCCCTAGCGCCCCTATTGCATTCTGGAGCCATCTATAAAGAAGGTTTATGGACAGTTAATTAAGTATCCCAAATGGGAAAACACAAGGCAATCTCCCATTTTCGAAACCAACACAATTATCAACAAATCCAAAACATAATAAAGAGATCGGAACTTTGGAACCCATATTCAAAAACTAATATCCTAACTCATCATAACACTGAGTAGAACTCAAGGACCACACCATCCTCAAGTCATAATTAAAGTAACAAGTCTTAATGATAACAATAAATTTTTTTATACATATAAGGAACATTATGATCCAAGAGGAAAGAAAATTTTAACAAGTCAAGAGTTCATTGAAGCAAGAATCAAACAACATCCCTTATTAACCCCACCCTCATGCCTCACCACATTCCTAAAGTTCATTTGCTAGCCAAGTTCTAAACTAGTCCTAAGCATTTAGTTAAACCTAGGCTCTGATACCACAAAATTTGTCACGCCACAAAGCTAGGAGCAAAACAAATGCTACATACTTGTGAGAAACTCCCACAAATGCACAAGGCTCAAACTTGTTTAATTCATAACTAGCAATCCACATAAACTTAGATCCAAAATCTCAAGTAAAATTTAGCTTTCAATAACCAATGTTTGACTAGGCCAAAGTGCACAAAATTATACAACTCCATCAATAAAGTCATAACTATCTCCAAGGGAATCTAGTCTATAAAAGAATAATTTATATCCCAACATCTATGTCCAAAAATAATTTGACTAGTAGCCTAACTCCAAAATGAACTAAATCCAAAATATAAGTGGCTAGCCTTCTAGCTCATCACTCCCCTTGGTTTCCTACATCCCTGGTCTTGCTACCGAACTGATTGACGAGGAAAAACTATGTGAGATAACTCAATAAGTAAAAATTTGGATAACCCTCATTGAAATTTAAAGCACGCTAGGTAAACATTTTAATTCTAAACAAGAAGAAAATCTCAATTGTAAACCATTTATGCATAATAAAATTTATTTAGTGGTTCCCTTAGTTAGTCATGGCCAATGTACTCTCCTATTAGCAAGATAACAAAAATACCAATGTACTCTCCTATTGGCAAGACAACAGAAATACCAATGTACTCTCCCATAGGCATGCTCAGCTCAACAAAAATAATAACATCTTCATTTCAAAATAATCATGCTCATGTGCTAATGGAAACTAGTTTAGGTCCCACCACAATCTCAAAAATAGTTTAAAATATGCTTTTAAAACCTTTACCTTAAAAATCCAAGGGCATTTATCATAATTTTATTTACCTCTCGTCTTGTAGGTAAATAATAAGCAAGAATTCAAGAACTCAAGGCTGTTGAGGTGATTTCGAATCGATACCACATCAAATGAATAAACAAGATTCCAACATACCCCATTTAACTAAATTGATTTCTAATTCTAGTATCAAGTGTCTAAACAAAGAAATGATTTCTTTCTACACACACTTGCCACTTTTACCCATTGGAACCTTACTAGTATATTAATATGTTTAATCATACATAGGATAGGCTTAAAACAGCACCAAATGTCACATGAAACAGCAGGTATTCCAAATAGATTTTTTGGGTAGAATAAAGTGGAAAATGTGAGAATCCAAGCTCAAAACTGTCCTAAACAATAGCACAAAAATTGGGTAGCAAGGTGGGGCGGTTTTTTTCCATTTAAAATAGTCCCAAAATGCTTGGAAAAGCCCTGAACAATAGGGATTTTTTGGGTAAAAACAGCAGTGAAAACAGTGCAAAATACAAGCCAAAATTGGGTAGAAATAGATAGCATTTAATCAAAAATGCAGCAATAAAAAGGTAGGTAAAACAATAGGAATTTTCAAGATAAAAAAACAAAAACACAATTTAAGTGCAAAAGTGCATTCAAAACCAGATGTAGAATAGTAGATTTTAACTAATGTAATTGCATACTTTCTAGCATGAAAACAAGAAAAATATCATGTTGAAATAACAATTAACCATAGCTAAAAATTTTGGGTTGTTTTGGACTGTTTCATACAAAATTTAAGTAGGATTTAGTGGAAAGAGCAGATGTTAATAGAGCAGGATTTTAACAGCAAAAAATCTAGTAACGAGGTGTTTTTGTGTAGAAATTAGCAGCTAAAAGTCTAATAAAACCATGATGTGATATTGCAGTACATAATGTAGGAATAAAGCAAAAAATAAAGCAAATTTCTGAGCACTTTTGAGGCCAAGTTTTGATCAAATTCTGAACCAGAAGTTCCAACAGAATTTTCGGCAAGACACCACAGATTGCCCTTCAACTTTTCAAGTGTATGGAACTTTACCCCTCACCTTATAATATGTGATTTTATACTCTCTTGATATGATTTTATACCCTCCTGATATTCGAGTGTATGGAACTATACCCCTCACCTTACAACTTTAGGAGGGTATAACATCATAAAATCAAATATCATGAAGGTATAAAATCATTAACTCGAATATCAAAAGGGTATAAAATCACCTATAATATGGTGAGGGTAAAGTTCCACATACTCGAAAAGTTGAAGGGCAATCTATGGGTTTTTGGCCAAAATTTTCACCCAGAAATTGACCGATCTGGGTTGAATGGTAACAGATCAATTGTAACCCCTATGTCTTAGCATTCTATAAGATCAAGAATTACCTTAATCCTACATCTACAAAAAAAGTTATGGTCATAATACTAACATAAGGTCTTGCCAATTCCGTCCAACTTTAGGAACCGAATTTGCAATAGAGTTTTCACCTTGAAAATAACTTAACTAGGTTAAACATCCAACAGAAAAACTGTAAGGTTATCTCTTAACTTTCCATAGAATCAAGAATGGACTTAATTTGATAGCTACAGCAAGAGTTATAGGCAAAATGCTACTGCAAAGTCATGTTATTAGAATTTCCAGCAAAAGGGATAAGATTTGGTGGCGCTAGATTATGGGCAACAAATCAAGGAAGAAACTACAGAAACAATCTTAAAATTGAAAACTCTAAAGGATTAGAGTTAACCCAATTCAAATCAAAGATCAAAAGATGAGCATGTGGTTGATTTCTTACCGAAAAATGCTGAAAAATGGCGACCTCCTACGCTGCTTTATTTATTTGACACGGACCAGGAAATTGGGGGAAACAACAATAGCAAGATCTGGATATGATCATGATTTTGAGAACCATAAGCCTATAAATCTCTAAATCAAACTTAGGAGGAAGAAAAAAAAAACTAAATCTCACATGATTTCTAGCGAGAGGAAGCTAGGCACATGCTAGGCTAGTCAGCAATTTCTGGTGATGGGCTGTGGGTTTGCAGAGACACACAAGAGGGTAAAGAGAAAAAGAAAATCAGCCTTAGCCCTTTTATTAGCAGATTTTCTTTTAGCCCCCCTTTAGGTTAGGGAATTTTAGTTATTAAACCCAACAACAATAAATTTTCCCACATAAGTCCCTAACTTAAATTTTATGGTTTTAGAAAATTTTGGGATATTACAAAATTAATGAAAATGGGCTCATCCTATGTTATTTCACAACTTTGAGCATTTTATATCTTTCTTTAAAATACTTTTTGCTAGATTGGTTTTCCATTTACAAGCTATTTGTCGTTCTTTACATAAAATTTTGAAATGGCCAATGTATGTTCTTTTTAAGAGGAGTCATTTTATACTTTAGAAATGTTTTTACTTCTGCTACATCATTATCTAAGGTTATTATTTTAAGACTCCTATGAGATTAAGGATATCCAAGGGAAGTGTGTTACATCAAGACCAAGGATTTCTTCATTATCTTCATGAGGTTGAAAAGGATCTTTTTTTTTTTTTTTTTTACATCTAGGTATCAAACTACAACTAGAGAGTTTAAAGGATGAGATTTGTCCATATTAAATCTCTTCAATATTTTTCAACATATTTAGTTGATGAACAAAGATTCCATTTGACTAGTGCTGGATTTATAAACTGAGATAGAATTTTGTTACTCCAAGAACTTTGACCTCAAGTTTTTTCTTTAAACATTCAACTGCCTTTTCAAGCTTTTTAAGTGTCCCAGTGATGTTTATATCATCAACATCTATTGCAATAATAGCAAAATTAGGTTTTGACCTCCTGGTAAAGACGCATGGCTAATATGATTATTTTCATATCATTCTTCTAGAGTAATTCACTTAGGTGATTGTATCACATTTGCCTTGATTGTTTCAACCCATATAAAGGTTGTCTTAATTATATTAAAAATATCTCTTGGCATTGAGTTTTATGCTTCAAACATTTTAAGTCCAATAAAAACTTTCATATAAATGTCACTTCCAATGATCCATATAAGTAAGTAGTTACAACATCCAAGAAATGCATTTGAGAGCCTTCAAAAACTACTAAACTTATAAAAAAACCTAAATGTAATTGCATTCATCACAAGAGGATATGTTTCCTCATAATCAATGCCAAGTATTTGTGTAAAGCCTTGAGCTACAAATTTGGCTTTGTATTTCACCACCTCGTTTTTCTCATTTTGTTCTCTCATGAACACTTATTTATAACCAATGTGCTTTATATTATTGGGTGTTTGGACAATTGGTCCAAAAACTTGGTGTTTTTCTAATAATATCAATTTTGCTATAATTGTATCTTTCCATTTTGGCCAATTACTTTCTTTGCATCAATGAATGCATCTAGCAATTGATTTGCAATATTTTGTAAATGAATAATATTTTGAACTTCAAGTTCACTTGGATCTATGTAAGGGTCTAAATAAAATATAAATAATGCATCCCAAGTTAATTCCAATTTTTTTCAACTTTAGTTCCTTTTCCCTTAATGCTAAGGAATAAGTTTTCATCAAAATGATAATCAATAAATCTTGCTGTGACAAGATTACCAATCATTGGTTCAAGATATTTAATTATAGATGGTGATTCAAATCAACATAAATTTTCAATCTTCTTTAGGGACCCATTTTAGTGCATTGTGTAGGAGCAATGAAGAACATATGTAGCATAATAAAAAATCTTTAAATCGGATATATTTGGTTCAATCCTAGAAACTAGCTGTAATAATAAATGCTTATGATAAGCAATTGGCCTTAATCGAATTAATGTTGTAGCACGCAATATAGCATAACCCTAAGCAGGAAAGGGTAATTTTGATCTCATAAGTAGTGTAGTCTTGCAATCAATTATGAACACTTAATAAGAGATTCAACTGACCATTTTGCGTATGTATTTGAGGAACTAGATGTTCAACAGTAATCCTAATTGACATACAATAATCATTAAATAATTAAGATGTAAATTCTTCTGCATTATCAAGTTGGATCCTTTTTATTATACAATTGAGAAATTGTGCTCTCAATTTTATTATTTTTGTAAGAAGCCTTGTGAACACAGCATTACATGTAGATAATAGGTAAACATGTGACCATCTTATTGAAACATCTATTGCACCATAACATATCAAAATGGTCCAAATGGTGGATTTATAGGCCCACAAATATCTCCTTGAATCTATTCCAAAAATAAAGGAGATTCATTTTTTATATTGGTTGTAGAAGGCTTGGAAATTGATTTATCAAGAGAGCAAAGAACACATGAAAAATGATTAGATAATAGAATTTTCAAGTTCTTTAGTGGGTGTCCTTGTGAACTTTCTATAATTCTCCGCATCGTAATAGTACTCGAATGACCAAGTCAATTATGCCAAAGGATAAAGGCATTTAGATTGACTAATTTTTAACTAGTTATAACATTGGATGTCATTAGATGTATATGTGTATAATATAATTCAAAAAAGAAAGTTCACATTTTCTCCAACATTTTCCTTTGTTGAAATGCAAAAGTTGTGAGGTGAAGGAACTCTATTCCATATTCATTCATGGTTTCAATATAAACACTATTACGATGTATATCTTTAAAATTTAGTAAATTTGGATTTGATCTACTATAACATAAAGCATCACGTATTAATAATTTTGTTTCTTTGAGTAATAAAATGCAAGTTTTCTAGAGCCTTCAATCAATTTTGCAGTACTAGATATGTTTGAACATTAGCCTCAACTAACTTTAATTGAGAAAAATCATTCTTATTTTTCAAGATGGTATGTGTTGTGCCATTATTAACAAGTCATAGGTCTCCATCATTGATCTTAGCATTATCCAAGTCCATTTGGTAACAAATTGTATAGTGGAGATGATTGTGATGATAACGTATTATAAAATAAAAGAAAAAGTAGTAAAATAACAAAACAAAAGTGAGAATTTCTTATTTCACCATATACAATTCAATGTACAAATCATATATAGTTGTTGGCATATGTATAGGCTAAGGGAAATGTAGGGTTTCATTAGCTATTGAATAAGATTAAATGAGGGAATGAATGCCACCTTAATGAACCTTTCAATGGCCTTTAGGAATGACCCCTTAATGGCAAGGAGTTACAACATTAAAAAGGTGAATGTGAAGGTGAAGCATCCGTCAATAGGATTATTTACAATAAATAGATAGCATTATCTGAATTTAAAAAAAAAAAATTGTACATTGGATAATGGGCTATATAAGTGCACATAATCCTCCTCTTTTCTTGAATCCCTTTTTACTCAACTCAAGATTCAAACTTGATCTCTAGTTCAATCTCAAGTTCTTAACCACTTAAGCCACCTTTTTGGGTATATTTCTCCTCTTTTACTAAATCCCTCCCTACTTAAATGTTATTCTTTAACATACATTAATATAAATAAAGTTTTCAAGTTGATTTCTCCAACAAAAGATAATAGCAGCTATTGCTACTAGTGAGAAACATATGATGCAATAATAATATTCTTAAATTATCCATTAATCATATATGTCATTGAGATAAGACTTTAATAATGTAAAGACTATCATATGTGATATTTTGCTAGGTGAAAAGAGTTCTTCTTATAATGTCATATATTACATATAGGTGACTCAAAACAAGTAAATGCATTGAACTAACCCACCACAAGGACACTACATGTATATGTCATTAGTAACTTCTTAACTATGTCACAAGTGTAAGTTATCCTTTAACTTGAGATCATGATTATTTTATGTGAGAACTCTTGTGCTATAATGATGTTAAAAATAACCATTACAAGAGGTTGAGAGTAATACAATTATTAAGTGTGTCATGAATCATATTAGTAATAAGTGAGTTAAGAGAGGATTCTTCTATTTCGAGTTTGTGAGAAAAGATATCTCTAGCCCTTTGATTGAAATGAGACTACTGGCAAGTCCTTGACCGTGGCAAGAATGAAGTTTCATTCAAGAAGTATGTGTATCTTAATAATCAAAGAAAATGTATCAAATTTTAAGGATGATGACACACAGTGTAACACACCTCCGTTGGGTAACCTTAATGATGGGAATCAAGATGACCCCACATGCACCACATCAAGAGATCCATTACACATTCCAGGAGGTCCAATCACGAGAGCTAGAGCTAGGAAGATGCGAGAAGCTTTAAATGGCCTTATTGAGCAGATCTGGGTTGATAACAACATACAACAAGCAAATCGAAGCTTGTATAATTATCAAGGCATGGTAAACATCATTCAAGTTCAAGAGAAGCTTAGTTGTGGTCATTTGCACAAAATTACAAAGTTTGCGTCAAAATTGCACAATTCTGCCACAATTTATAGCAAACTGATATTTCGTGATATTTTAGGTTATTTTTAGTGATTTTCATGTTTTTTGTATTATTTTTGGGCTGAACATTCGCTTATTTGAAGCCTAATTCGTGGTTATTAGGTTTAGGACTTAGGGTGTTAATTTCCTATTCTGATTAGGAATTGTTTTCTCTATTTAAAAGGCTTGTAACCCTAATGGGGAGTGAGGCTATTGAATCTAAGTTTTTGAGAGACTTTTCTCTTTGGTTCGTTTCAGAACTTTACAAAACTTATCAAGATTATTCTTGTGGCGTTCTAACCTGACTTATCATTCTCGTTCTTAATTGTTCGAGAGTGTGGCGTCAACCAACCTTATACCTCTGGTTCTTGTTGCGTCATAGACAACGGGTGAAAGTTTTTACCTTTGGTTCTTGTTGTGACATAAACAACAGGTCAAGGTCCTATTATAAACCTGATTTAGCTTTCCTGGAGTTTAGAAATCCCTTGTCGTGTCGTGGGTCTCATTGTTCTCTTTGGGGTTCTCATCAGGTTTGCGTATCTTTAGTTTTCAGTTTTTACATAAAAAAAAAAAAAAAATTAGGGTTCTTTTCTTTCTTGTCTGCAACTCTTTTCATATTGTTCTGTTGAATCTATGTTGCTGGTTCTGAAGAGAAAAAAAAAATCCGAGAGAGAAAAGCACGAAAAAAAAAAAATCAGAGGAGAGAAGTCGTAGAAAAAAAAAAAGAAAAAGAAAAAAAAAAAAAAAAAAAAAAATAAAAAAGCAACACAATTCTGTGGTTGGAAATTCCTTATATAGAGAAGAAATCTGTGGCCAAATCCTTAAACAAGAAGGAATCCTACTCCAATAAGGAGTTGGAAATTC